CAATTGGATGACGACTATTATTGTACATTGGCATGATTTCCTTAATTGAGTGGTTAATCAAGTGTATGCCATGGTTTCTGGATTTATTTTGTTTAATTCTTCTTACCAATAAAAGGGTTATGATCTTTACTTCTGAAATATTTAGTTAATTGGAGGTTTGAACCCAATCTAGATTAGAATTGTCACTTTGAAGGCAAACAGGCACACAAGTAACGTAAATAACACAAGTTAAGCATGATTATTATGGTATTGTCCTTTCCAAGTAAGCCTAATTTTGAAGGAGCTATTGTTTAGTATCTTTATTATGATAAAAAGTTGGCAGAGCATTCCAATTATGAAATCCTGTCCTTTTAAAGTTGAGTGTAATTATTAACTTTGATTAATTGGATCTAATAGTGCCATATAGAAACATATAAAAATACCTATTATTGTTAAAGTTGGCTCATGCTTTTCTTCATACAAGCTATGCCTAGGCAATTGTCCCTACAGCTTGTCTTAATTATTGTTTGGTTTGTTCTGGTTAAGCATGGCAACTATGTCAATGTGTGGCTATGTGGCCTTTGATTGTTCTATAGAAGAAGACCCGTCATAATAATGGAGGATTGATCAAGGATCTTGAGGGAGAAATGTTGGATTTTGAGTACGAAGTTAAAGAGTTGATAAATTGTAAAGTGGCAAATGAAGGTCCTAACTTTAACTTTGATCGTGCATTACAGAATTGGGAATGTCATAGGTGAATGAGTGTTCTACAATTTGTTTGTTATATTACATGCAATGTATTTGTTGGCAGAGATGGCAACCCTAATTGATAGGCCTATAAGTTATGGTAGTGTTGAAAGAGAGAGCATGAGGAGAATATTCAAAAAACAATTAAAAGAGACACACAAAAATGTGAGTCACCAAACTCACAGGTTAATTTGGAGTGTAGCCCAACATATGGAGCATAAGCAACATCTACATTATCTAGAGGACAAAAACGCAAGGCTTTAATGATTGAATACATTGAAGAAAGGTGTGAAAAAATGACATCAAAAATAAAGAAATTAGTTGACGTCATGCAATATAGCAACGTTATTGCTAAGAGGTTGGTTTAAGTTGCAAAGAAGCATCTTCAAGTTGCTGAGAAGCATGCTCAAGTTGTTGAGAAGGGTCTTTCAATACTTGAAAAGAATAGGCCTCCTCATTATAGTGAAGGAGAAGTGCGAGCCACAATTGAGGAAATTGGAAAGTCTGAAGAAGAGAAACTAAAATGTTATGTATTCTTGTGTAATGAAGAAAGATGCAAATTAATGTTTTTTGGGGTTCCAGCTCATATGCGATTACAAACATTACTCAGGTTGATGACTGATATTGGGATTCGGTGAAAAAGGTATAGATATGGTGTTTGACTTTTTTGGTTCTTAGATCTTTTGTAATGTGGTGACATGTTGGCTTTTTTTATTTAGGAAACATTTACCTTTTGCCATGATATTTCTAATACAGTGTCATGTTGGCCATTTTTTGTTTGGCTAACATAGGCTTTTTTTTGGTCATGATGCTTATGATGTAAACGAAATATTCGTCATTTTGTTTATAATATTCCATGATCATGATGCTGAACATTTTATTGTATAATAAGTATTATGATTAATTGTAATAGTATTATTAGTAATAGTATTATAATATTCCATGATCAAGTTATTATACTCTTTTGTTTGTATATTAGATTTTATTCGTTTTTTAAGTGATATTAGATCATGTATAATTTATTTATTTTCTTTTATTATATTTAACTTTAAAAGTTATCCACTTTTTATTTTTCACCTTGAAAAATAATGATTTGCTAAATTATTTGGTTTTAAGATATGACAACATAAAAATATGTCTTTACCAAATAATTGACTTTAACTCATTTGATGATATTAATGCTGATATGATTTTTCCATTGTAATATTTAATTTGATTTTTTTATATAATATATTTTGATATAAGAGTAAGGGTATTTTAGTTATTTAAATATCTTCATTTTATTTTCTTTTTGTGTTCTCTCATCCATCTAAATAAGAGAAGTGGAATAATTTTCTTTCCAACTTTCTCTTTTATCTATTTTCTTTTCTCCTAATTTTTCTTTCCATCTAAATAGGGGTAAATGTAAAATCTCCATTCAATTTGTCCCCCAAAATTTATATCTTTGCTCAAACAGTCCTATGAATTACACATACCGTGTGACGTTTTCATCTTTTAAGGAAAAATCTTTTTTGGAGAATCGGTGATGGAGAGGGTGTTAGCATTTGGACTGATAGATGGGTGCCAGGTTTGGAGACTGGGAAATTAAGTAATGAGTTGATTTCAGATGATGAATAAAAGGCTAAAGTTGCTAATCTAATTAGAAGTGGAAATTGGGATTTAAGTCCTAATGATGGTAAGATTTCGTTGGTTGAGAAAGAAAAAATTCTGCAGATAAGACTTCCTCATTGCTGGAGAAAGGACAAAGCAATTTGGCTTAAGTGCCATGATGGGAAATATACCGTTAAATCTGGTTATCATTCAGCTTTAGATGAGATGAACAGCGTAGTAGCCTCTCCTGGTAGTTCCTTTCAGATTCTTCCTAGGCACTGGACTAGTCTTTGGAAGTTGAGCATTCCTCTAAGATCAAACATTCTTTGTGGCGAATGTTGAACAATGCCTTGGCCACAAAGGCAGCTTTATTTAGAAGAAAATGCTCTCACTCTGATTTATGCCCAATCTGTGGTGAACAGCCTGAAACAATTGAGCACCTATTATTGCTTTGCCCTTGGGTTCAAAAATGCTGGTTTGGTTACGCTCTCTGCCTAAGGATTGATGGTCCACAGATCACTAGCATTAAAAAATGGTTTGTAGATTTGGTCCTTGACAATAAAATACTGAGTGATGAAAATAAATCCCTTATTGCAGGTATATGTTGGGAAATCTGGAAATCAAGGTGTAATTGGATTTTTAATGGCACCCCGGTTGTTCCAGGCCATGTTATTTCTGTGTCTACTCCTCTGGTTGATGAGAGATTGCTGATGGTGATTCAGCTGCTAGAAGTATAAAGAAGAAGGAAAGAAGACTTTGCTGGATGGCTCCTACCACTGGTTCTATTAAAATAAATTTTGATGCCTCCTTTGTGACACAAACAAGCAGTGCTAGTATAGGCATTGTCTGCAGAGATAGCAATGGTTGTTTTCTGGGTGGTTTTGGGAAAAAGGGTTTTGCTTATACTGCTCTGGAAGCTGAATGTATAGCAGCAAAAGAAGCCATCTTGATCTCTAGTAGATTCAAGGAAAGGTATATTTTTATTGAAACTGATTGTGAAATTTTATTTAACCATCTTATTAATCTTTCTGCCGCAGGATTGAAATGGCAAAGTGTCCCTATCTTTGAAGAGATTCTTGGAACAATTGGGATAGGCCAGGTATAAAGTTTTCCTTGGTTGGACGCCAAGGTAATCGTGCTGCAGATCATTTGGCAGCTGCTTACAGAAGAGAGTTGATACCCAACAGGTGGCTTTTGGCAGCAACACCTCTCTTGGATGAGATTTTATTAAGTGACATGAATGGTTGCAGGAATTTGGTGTCAAGTTCACTTGGTCAGATGTCTAATGTTGCAGATTCTAGTTGTGCTCCTCCTAGTGTTAAGAGTCCTACTGCTATTCGAAGAGGTGTCAACTAGTCTAATTTGAGCCTTTGTTGTATTTTTGTGGTCTTTGTTTTGCTTGTATTTGCTTCTTTTTTAGTCTGTATGTTTTTTTGGGGTTTGTATGTTTCTATTTTTTTGAGTCTGTTGTTTTGTTAATAACTTTAGTGTTTTTTTTGTAAGTATTTTAAATATTTGTACTGTGTTTTTTTGAGTCTGTTGTTCAGTTTTCTTTAGTAATAAAAATATCTCTTTGGCAAAAAAAAATCTGAGGTTTATTTCTCATGTAAATGATTGAAAAGATATTTAAAAAACTAATATAAATTTATTATAAATAATTAACTCTAATCTTTATAAAATTGTTATCCGTCTCTTGCATTTTTATTGGAGTTAGCAAAATTTATGTGAACTTTTTAGGGAAAATTGAGGATAAATTCCTCATTACAAATTTAATTGGCAAATGGTCCATAGGATAATTGATTGCATAAGAGACGATTAGTTGCACAAAAAAGAAGGTAAGTTGCACAAAAGAAAGATGGTTTGCACAAAACATTATTTGGATATAAGGGATTAGTTTGCACATAAGGAAAATGACTTGCACATAAAATAATTTTATTTGCACAAAGAGAAATTGAGTTGCACATCACGCAAAAGAAGATTATTGCACACAAAGAAAGTTAAGTCGCACATAATAGAAGTTAAATTGTACAAAGCCCTCAAGTCTTATTTGTGAATTAATTTTTCAATAAGGGATTTATTCCCATTTTTTCAACTTGTTGTGCTGGGAAAATGTGAAATTCTTTACGAGATTTTCTTAATGTAAATAGTCAAATCAACATATTCATTTTAAAGTAAAAAGATTAATACCATTGTTAATTTTATAGGGAGTTTTAATGACTAGATTATACTTTTAACAAGTTTTGGTTTCGCTCTCCATACTTAAACTCAGATCAAATTTTTACGAAACTATAAGAATCAAAACTAGCTATTTGAAAATAATTTGATCAAATTGTAAAGAGTAGTAATGATGTTAACCCATGTAATAAATGGGTATTCTTACATCTATGCGTCAATATTGACTTTTTTTTAACACTATTATTTCGTTTTTCATTTTAAACAACTAATAGTTTATTCTTAATTCTATATTAATTAAAAAAAATTTTGCATGTTCATGCAAGCGCACGGTATTGAACTTTTGAAGCCTAATGTCATATATTCGCATTGATAAATAAAAATACCAGAAAATTGATGTGCTGGTGAAAATCCCCAGAACCTCTTCCCCAAAACAAGCTCAGTTACTTGGATAGGACTTGGGAGCTACAACTCCTAAACAATACAGATTAAAACTAATTTACTTTGGGAACTTTTTCTTAAGCAATTGGATATAGGATCAAGAACTAATAATAATGAAACGAATAATCCAAAACTGCATCCACCTAGTTTGTTTTCCTTTGCTCAGTTTACAACATATAAATAATAGTACAGAAAAAGTAGTCCTCGTGTATCTATAATAGATACAGATTAGTACAAAAGCTCGACGCCGACTACACATTGAAATTACAAAGAATCACATTGCTGTTATATCAAAAGAGTGAATTCCCATGTTTCCATTTATTCTTTTAAGTCATTCTTCACCTTGTGCTGGCGTGGTTGTTTCACTTTGAGTTGTCTCTCCAAGAGTGAATCGTACAAAACGTCTCACTTTAATGTTCTCTCCAATTGCAGCTACTGTTTGCTTCACGAAGTCCTTAACTAGAACATTGTCATCCTTAATAAAAGGTTGTTCTAGAAGAGCAAGCTCTCCAAGCCTCTTTGAGACTCTTCCTTCAACTATTTTTTCTCTGATGTTCTCAGGTTTTGAAAGAATGTCCTCTCTTTGCATCTCAATTTCTTTTTCCTTGATCATTATACTCTCAGGAATATCTTCCACGGATACAAACCGCACTTGAGGGCAAGCCACAACTTGCATAGCAAGATCATCAACCAACTCTTTGAATTTCTCGCTTCTACCGACAAAATCAGTTTCACAGTTCACTTCGATTAGAACACCAATGCGTGAATCATGGATGTACGAGCCTATTCTGCCTTCAGCTGCCAGCCTGCTGGATTTCTTCTCAGCAGATGAGAGACCTTTTTTTCTTAGGTACTCCTGAGCCTTCTGAAGATCCCCTCCAGTTTCAGCAAGGGCTTTCTTGCAGTCCATCATCCCTGCACCGGTTTCTTCTCGAAGTTGCTTAACCAATGCAGCAGAGACCGCTGCTGCAGGTGGCCTGTATCAGAATGTTGAGTTATAATAGGATATAGAAATAAAGTTAGGGCAATTTCTCCTCTTCTATGCTCGATTTTATAACTAACAATAATGAGCAAGCACATTACAAATAACAGAAATGGAATTGGCATATGACTGGTTGATTCATTCTTTATGGTAAATTTTGTACCATTAGTGCTGAATACCTCATCTAATGCATTCACCTAAAGCAATAAGAGTTTGTAGAACTGCTTACTTCTGCTCTGGTTCCTTGGCTTCAGCAGTATCAGGTAGTGTTTTTTCAGGTGCAGGCACGGGTTTTGCAGCAGTTTGTGCAGCCACCTCTGCAGCAAAATCTTGACTTTTCTTCTCCAAGCCCTCTCCAAGATTGAACCGCACAAACCTCTTAACTTTGATATTTTCTCCAATGGTTGCTATAGTCTGCTTGACCAAGTCCTTTACTACCACTTTATCATTCTTAATATACGGCTGCTCAAGCAATGCTAGCTCCTCGAGCCTTTTTCTTATCCGGCCTTCAACAATCTTTGCCCTTATCTGCTCTGGTTTTGATAATAAATCCTCTTTCTGCATCTCTATTTCTTTTTCTTTGTTCACAATACTTTCAGGAACCTCTTCAACGTCAAGATATTGTACTTGAGGGCACGCTGCCACTTGCATGGCTATATCATCAACAAGCTCTTTAAAAATTTCTCCTCGAGAGACAAAATCTGTCTCACAGTTTACCTCAACCAAAACACCAATCCTGCTGTCATGAATGTAAGATCCTATTCTTCCTTCAGCGGTGACTCTGCTTGCTTTCTTTTCTGCACTAGCTAAGCCTTTTTTCCTGAGGTACTCCTGTGCTTTAATAAGGTCCCCTCCAGTCTCTGAAAGAGCTTTTTTGCAATCCATCATTCCAGCTCCGGTGTCTTCCCGAAGCTGCTTAACAAGAGCTGGTGATATGGTTGCTGCAATCAATGAAAAGGGAAAAGAAATTTACTATGAGATTATTCCCAATCCCATGAAACAGAGAAAGGAAAGCCAGGAAAAAGAAACAGCTGAATGGAAAACCCGGGAATGGCAATGAAGCTACGTGTTGTTCATGACTCCCATTTAGTTAATCCCCAAAAATTATACCTTATGGTAATATAGCTAATAAAATATTCTGACATATATTAAAGAAAAAATGTGAAGGAAAAAACGAAAAGATTACATTGCATAAAAAGCAACTTTACTGTAGAACAAGATTACTGCAACCACATATCTGCATCATAAGGTCCACTTTATCCACAAAGTTTCAAAAATAAATTTTGAAATTGTAAAGAAAAAATATGCCATTCTGAAATTTAAATCTTCTGAACACATGCAATAGGATGCAAAGAAGTATAAACCTTTGCTCGAGCCTTGCTCTGAAGCAGTAACACCAGTTCCACCATCTTTACTTTCAACTTGTGAGGCAAAAGAATTTTCATTCTCAGTGGCAGGTGCTTCTTCTTGTACTTCTTTTGGCTCATCAACTGAATTTTCTACAACTTCAGCAGAATCAGAAGATAGGCCTTGATCATTATCACCCGTTCCACCTATAGAGGGAGAATTAACAATTGGTCTTCTTGTTAGGTATGACGAGTATAATTTGGTTAGTTTGCTTCAGTTAAACAAACCAAGTCAACCATATCTTTGGAAGCCACAAACATGCAACATTTAATAATATAAATGTTAAAGACAAAACAAGAGCCATATATAGAAATCTTCTTCTTACTAGTTTTGATTCGTTGGCCAAAGTTGATGGCACCAAATAAATGTTAGTTTCCAATTGGATGTGGACGTACTATTAGCATTTTCCACACGCAAAGGTGAATTAAACATGGAAAACACACACACACACACAGAGGAATATGCACACAGATTTATACAAATGGGAGTGCAGGAATACTATGAACCTGCTGTTTCCAGGGGAGCTGGTGCATTACTAGATGAAATATCTGATTCCAACCCTTTAATACTGCCATTTATTTCAGGGCTAAGTTCAATTCCATCATTATCAGCCGGTGCTGCAGTAGCAGATTGTTCCTCTGCATCAGATGTTTGTGATTGTTTTTCATCCTTCACAACGGTAAGATCAGCTCCACTTTCTACCACATTTTCATTATCTGTTTCAGGAGGCGAGTCTGTTATACTATGGCTTGCTGCAGCATCAGTTTGAGTAGCTTCCTCAATAATTTGATTCGCAGTTGATGCACCATCTCCTTCAGAAGCCAGACTTCCGAAAGTCACATTCTCTTTATTCTCAGAGGCACCATCTGCACTGGAGATTGAGCTAGAGATATTGCTTATTGCGTCTGTTTCATTACTTATATCAGCTGTGGATTCAGCATCTGATGAGCTGGCCTCTGCATCCAACTGACTTTCAGAACTATCCTTTTCAGTTTTATCATTTAAATTTTCATTAGCAATTTCAAGAGGTGAGTCAGTTTCAGCATTTCTAGCTCCAACATCAGTTTGAGCTGCTTCCTCAACAATTTGATTTGAAACAAATGAATCCCCCTCAGGAGCTGAACCACCAGAGGTCACCGCTGCTTCCTTCTCAGTGGCATCATCCAACAAGCTGCCTTCCTTCTCAGGGACATCAATTACAGTCTCCTGTTGCAGGACAGTTTCTTTGATTTCTTCTGTTGATGTATTTTCAACCGGTTTTTTCACATTCTCTCTCTCATCTAAAAATGCAGCAATTTCTTTGTTCTCGCGGAAAGCTAAAACAAAAGGGTTTGTTGCAACATGGACAACCCCTTGGCTAAGCTGTGAGTCCAATTGTGCTATATCTTCCTCTTTCTTCATAGTCAATGTTACTTGTCCTCTTGAGATATGCAGAACCCGCACACTGACTTCTTGACCAACCTGCAGTGAAGAGTTTCCCATAGCACTCTCAAATCCTTCATCAGACTCCTCCGATATGGGTAAAAAGCCTTCCTCTCCATCAGGAAGAGATATAAAAGCCCCATTCCTGGTCATGTTCTTCACCGTACCTTCCAGGTCTTGCCCCTTCACAAACTTGGTGCTTTTTCTTGAATCATCTCTCTTTGAACCGGGCTTTGATGTGTTCCTCCTCCCAGGTCCAGCCTTCTCTGAACTGACTGGTCCATCTTTTTGTTGCTGCAACTTACCAATGTCATCACTTTCACGCATAGAGAGAGAAATACGCTGACTTTCAGTGTTCACTTCAATAAGCTTCACCTTCACTTCTTGTCCTACTGAAACTACACTTGCAACATCCTTAACATAGCTATCACTCAACCTTGAAACATGAACAAGGCCATCTGTGAAGGCTCCAAAATCAACAAAGGCCCCGAATGGCTGGATTGATTTTACTTTCCCAGTAAAAGTTGCTCCAGGAATCAAATCCTCATTCTTTACAGGAGGCATCTCACTTTTCCGAGCAGGTCTGGAACGTCTGGCTTTAGCTGAAGAAGTACTGGCATTGGACTGAGGAGACAAATCTTCACTTGTACCAACTTCATCTAAAGGAGTTTCAGAAGTTTCAGTAGAGTCATCATTTGCAGCAGGTGAATCCGCTTCCTCTATGGCTATATCTGTTTCTGTAGCTGATGTACTGGTTCTAGAATTTTTATTAAATGAAAGTATCCTTTGGCTCTTTGAAATCAGTCCAATGGAAACAAATGGAGGTAAGAGGAACCTTGGTGTTGATGATTCATGTTTCACAGACTTCCTTGAAAAATTGAGTTTTGTTAAAGATTCACTTTTCCTTGCAGAAAATGCACTTCCAGGGATAAATGAAACAATGCCCGTGGAGCATGGTATTACAGGATTCATCTCGACTTGAAATGCAAAACTTATTATGTCTCAGAATCAGCACATTTCCATGTCACCTGCCAAGAAATATGACGTGAAAAATCAGCACAAGCTTTTTTTTTTTTTGGTAGAAAAATCAGCACAAGCTTTAGTAATGAATTAGTTAGGTGACTCCAATATGGTTATCAATAATGAGATTTGGGGGCAAAATCAGTTATCTTGGTTCCAAAAGCAATAATATACAATTATATGCCTATTAGTACGGTCACAATAATATGATGCAATAATGGATTGTCATTAAAACCATTGTAGGCTCCACCACATCCATCAGAAAAGGGCAAAGGAAATATAACCAAATTGTTACAAAATATCAGTGAAGATAGACAAAAACTACATCACAGTTCACATGTCTCCATAAAAATTATCGCAATATCAACTTCAATTTGAGAAGGCTGCAATGGAAGTATACATTCTACATGGAAAATACTAAATATGATGGTTTGTCTGTATTATCCTTCCTGTCATCGATGTAATAACTGAAATATTGAAAGCTCAGAATTCCAAGTAAGCTCAGGGAAAACGGAAAAACCACAATAACCTTATTAATTACGAAATATCAATGAGGGTAAATAATAGTGTAAGAATTTAAAAACCATATACGGCAATTACAAACAGAAAACACACTCTATAACATCCTAAACCTCCACTACTTACGTACAAACATAATCAGATTGCAAATTCGGATAAAACAAATTTAAGCACATTTCAAGTTAATATAAACCGGGGAGGCATTAAAGCCGCTTCCTTTGCAAAATTCACATTCCTTTTGCATTAAAGGGAAATTAAATTCAATGGATTGAGCTGCGCGGAGGAGTATATATCAAATTCAAGCTCAAGAAGGAACAGAGTACTAGAGAAATCAGATAAAAACAACAAACTTTAAGGAAAAAAAGAAAAGGCCCATTAGGTACAAGACGAGGAACCGATACCGCAGAAGCTTGAAAGGGCCAAAAAAAATCATAGAAACTTAAAGTTTACAAGTTTAAAAAACTGTAGAAAAGGCGAGAAAGTATTGGTTTTCTAAGTAAGTTAATTTCTGGGTTGAGAAGATAGAGCTTACTCTGTGCTCTTGAGAGGAGGAAGGAGGGAAATGAATGGTGAGGTTTTAAATCCTTATCTTATCGAAGTATTGTGCTGCTCGGTCGAGTCTCAGGAGACAATCGCATCCTGAAAACTATTCGGCTCAGTTCGCTTCGGCTTTTGCACAGCCACGTTAATCGGCTTAGCCGCTTAGCCGAGTCAATAACACCTTCCTTTACCTGACATTCATTGGGCTTTTCAGTGGGCCATAAAAATCCAAAACCATGCTGAAAGCTCAGAATACTAAGCCCATTTAGCCCATAGTAAAGTACACCAATCAATGGGCTACCATTGCTGACCCAATTAAAAAAGAGTAACTTATTGACAATTGTGCTTTAATTTACATGTTTTCTCCCGTAAGCATTTAGTAGAAGTATGGTGTTTAATTTACTAACTTAGGTTATTTTAAGTAATTTTATGTTGTATGAGATGAATATATGAGAAAATTTACCTTATAAAGCACAAAAATAATTTTTGAAGGTATTTCCAAACACTAATATGTCACAAACAACTATTAAAAGTGAATAAATATTTTTTGGGAAAGATACAATTTTATTCCTGATCTGATTTTTCATATGTACCCAACACTTTAATCTTTTTAGTAGTACAACTGTACCCATGATCTTTTTGGGTATAATTTTACCCTTAATTTGACCCTAAACACTATAGTAAAATTGTATTACTAAAAAAATTGAGATGTTGGGTACACCTGGCCATACTTATTTTAAAGTGTTATGGGCATATAAACATTGTTGTTTGTGTAGCTTTTTTTTTTTTTGACACTATAGTGTCTCCTTAAAGAAGTGTCATGTCTAACCACCATCACCTACTCAAAGTTTGTTTAGAATGGCTTGCATCTTTCAAAAGTAATTTTTTTTATTTGTGATCTGTGGTATATGAAATAAATATATGAAAATGAGTTTTATTTTAATTTGTGTAAACATACTTATGATAAGCAACGTCAAAAAAACAAAGTAGATGACACTGAAATATATCATCTTGGAGGGGGAAAAAAAACATTTACCAACTAAACAATTCAACTGTGGCGCTCCCCCATTTTGCATTAGTATAAGGTGAAAATTGTCTAAAAATTTTTTATTTAAGAGCACTAAGCACTTGAAAGTTTTGTTAAAATACAAATTTGTTCTGAA